TGTAATGAAGCAGATATTTACAGTATCTTAAGGAAACGGGTGGTCTGAAGTTTAATCGTGGAGGCTCAAAGAAGATCACTGGTTTTAGTGATAGCAGTCACAACATCGAACCAGATGATGGAAGAAGCACCACAGATCATATCTTCTCCTTTGGATCCTCGCCAATTACTTGGTGTTCACAAAAACAGAACATTGTCGCTCTGTCATCGTGTGAAGCTGAGTTTATGGCAGCAACGGAAGCGGCTAAACAAGCCATATGGATTCAAGACATACATAGCGAGATCACTGGATGGAAGGCCGAGCAAATCGTCATCAAGATAGACAACAAATCTGCAATAGCTCTTACCAAGAATCTCGTGTTTCATATCAAGAGTAAACACATTCACAAACTATATCATTTCATAAGAGAATGTATTGAAAGAGGTGTTGTCAATGTGGAGTATATACCGGGAACTGAACAAAAGGCGGACATCCTAACCAAAGCATTGGCACGGATCAAGTTCAGTGAAATAAGAAGTCTAATCGGAGTTCAAGACATGTCAGACATGAAGTTGAAGCTTAAGAGGGAGAATTTTGGATAAGCTTTAACATTAGTTTGAAAGACTAAGATATCTAAACCAAGTTGTGGTTAAGGATAAAATAGACTTAAAAGAAAATCTTCGATTGTCATTAAAAAAAAGAAAGAGTAGTTTCCTATTTCCAATATTAATAGAAAAAAAAGAAATTAGCAAAGTTGTACTAATGCCTATATATATGAATGTTGAGATGTAACAAATATAATGTTTAGTTTTAAGTTATTTTCTAAATATAAATAAGAGAGCTATTCTTATATTCAAAGTCTTCTTGTGTTTTTAAATCTTTTAGTTAAACGATCTAAACGGTCTTTCCAATGAATTTTTATGATATATTTGAAAAAATAAAAACATCTTTTTATTTGAAGGAAAAGATTTCTCACCCTACCATACAATGGAGAAGATTCTAAAGAAATCTAATGAGTGGTTTATGGCACAAACAATCTCTGCGGTAGCTGAGTTTCATGAGGAAAGCTCGATTCCTTAAGTGGTTAGAGCCTGGAGACCTCCTCCAAAACCGTGGGTCAAGAGAGGGGATCTCAGCCGACACCAAGCCTTTGATGGTGAGAGAGTTCGGTCCTCTAATTAGCAGTTTTTGTCGAGGTAGTTCGGTGTTTGGTGTCGGCTGAGATCCCATGTTTTTATTACCGTTTTGGACCTATCGTGCAGTGTGTTACCCGGTCTTAAGATATTGAACAGTCTTGCTTCTTAATATTATTCCTGATGACAAAAAAAGAAAAAAAAACATGCTATATATAGTTCCGCAAACATTTGTGCACAATCTTCTATCAAATTAGTATTGTAGACGTTTGTTTCCTCGATCTTCAAGTCGGCTCCAAAGTAGATAAAGGCCCAAATGGTGACAGACTCTTTTCACCGAACTTTAATTTATTCATGTTTGGTAGAAAAAAAAAGTCTGGTTAATTTGCTAATTTAATTTTCTTGGTTCTTTTTTAAAATAAGAGCTTATGAAACCGACACCTCTGAGACAAAAATAAATATAGTTCTTTTATAAAAGAAAGGAAACAGAAAAGAAACAGCGCTTAAGTATAGAGAAAAGTGAGAAGAGAGCCAAGTATTTCAAAAGGCTCACTCTTTCTCTTTTTTCAAGAACTTGAGTGAGAGAGAGAAAAGAGCTCTTCACCAGGATCTTTCTCCTGACCCGTCTAAAGATCCGAATCCAGGATTCTCTAGGGTCAGTCTATTTCTGTTTTCCTGTCTTTCTTTCTTCTCCACTTTCTCTTTCATCAGTGTCTTTGTTTACTGCTTCCTGGTGTTTCTTGGTCTTGGTCCTTTCTTTCTTTATTTTCCCCCAAAAAATTATCAATAGATTGAGAGATTACAAGATTCATGTAAGAAACCCATCTCAGAAATTAAATATCGATAGACCAGAAGCTAACAATATATTTTGAAACCCCTAAAAAAACGCAGAAGCTATTTTCTAATTTTCCCTTTTTATTTAGAATTTTTTGGGTTTGATAGCTTGTAAATATTAGTGTTTAATTGTAGTTTCTTACGAAAAATCTGCTTTGAATTTTCTTTCACTAGAAAATTCTCTATATATATAAAGTTTGCATGGTTCTTTTTCCGGATTTTTTCTTTAATCCTTGGAATAACTTGAGAATTTTGTTTTCTTGTCTAATGTTAAATTATTAATCTCTTTTAAGATTTACTAGGTATTTATCCGCGCTACGCTGCAGAATATTTTTCTAAATTTTATATATATTTTTAATATAATAAAATTATTTTTATAATGAAAATAAGTATTATATTTTTTTTTTATTAGCTTAAGTTATGTATTTATATGTTTTAAATTTGAATAAACATTGTATATCCTTATTTTTTGTATTTTCTGAAATTATAATTTACTATTAATTTGTTTAGGTAACTAATTATATATGTATATGTAAGAATAAATCAATATATTTTTTAATATTTTCATGCTAATGGTAAATGTTATCTATTTTCTCTAATAAATTGTCATTTGATTCTTCTTTGTAATTATATAAAGGAAATTGTCATTTTAAAAATAGATTTATTAATTAATGTGATTATCTTGAATTATAAAATTTATTTATTTATCAAATATTTATTATAAACTTATGTTTCTAAAACTATCAAATTATAATCAATAACATTCATATTAAAATCATTGCTATTGCTTTAGAACTAAATAGAAAATTATCTTTGAACTGTTGAAATATCGTTGTAGTTGAAGTTAAATAATTAAATTTTGGTCATTGTAAACATACTTTAACTTGTAAATTTAGCACAGAGAAATTTCATCTTCTTACAAAAATCGAAAAATCAAAACAAAAAAAACTTCATTTTTCCATGAAAATGAGAAAGCGCATATTCCCGCCAAAATCAAAAAATTTATTATCTCGTCAAACTTAAAACCTAAAATTTTATTTTCTTGCGAGAACTTATGTTTTCTCGCCAAAACCAAAAAATTCACGTTTTTTTCACCAAAACCAAAAAATTTCATCTTCCTGCAAAAATAAAAAAGTCGTATTTTCCCATCAAAACCGAAAAATTTATTTTCTTGCAAAAACCGAGAAATCTTCTATTCCCGCCAAAACTAAAAATTTATTTTCTCGTCAAGCCAAGAATCACGCTTTCCTACCAAAACAAATAAACTACAATTTTCCGCGAAAACCAAAAATTGCATTATCTCACGAGAAAATGTGTTTTCCCGTGAAAATTAAGAAATTGCATTTTGTCGCGAAAACAAAAAAAAATCACATTATTCGTCAAAAACTGAAAATTTGCATTTCCCATATAAACCAAGAAATTGCTTATTCTCGCCAAAATCGAGAAATTTTTTTTTCCCATCAAATTGAAAAATTGCATTTTCTGCCAAAAGCAAAGAAAATTTGCGCGAAAACTAAAAAATTACACTTTTGCGCAAAAACCAAGAAATCGCATTATCCGTCAAAAGCCGAAAATTTGCATTTTCTATTAAAACTGAGAAATCGCATTTTTGTCAAAATTGGAAAGTTGTATTTGTCATCAAAACCGAGCATTTTCCCGTCAAAACTAAGATATTTTATTTTCCCGTGAAAATCAATTTTTTTTTTGTTTTCTCACCAAAACCAAAAATTCACATTTTCTCGCCAAATCCGAGAATTCAGTTTTTTCCGCCATAACAAAGGAAGTATGTTTTGCTACCAAAACTGAAAATCACATTTTCCTACTGAAACAAAGAAATCTCTTATTCCCGGCAAAACAGAGAAATTCATTATTCCCGCCAAAGCTAAGAAACATTATTTTCTCGTCGAACCGAGAAATCGTGTTTTCTTAAAAAAACCGATAAATTGTATTTTTCCGCCAAAATCGTCAAATTGTATTTTTCCGCAAAAAAATATAAAATTGTATTTTCATGCGAAAACCAAGAAATCGCATTATCCATCAAAAACAGAAAATTTTGTTGCCAATCAAAAACAAAGATTTGATTTTTTTATTTATTGTTATTTATTATTTGGGCTTGAGTTTAGTAATAAATAAATATATATATATATTTTTTATTGTTATTAATTATTTGGGCTTGGATTTGGTTAAAAATAAAATAAAGGTTAATAGAAAAAGTATTTGGGTTTTTAATAGATTTAAATTTAAAAATTAAAATTAGTAGATGAGTTGTATTAATAAAATATTTTGATTGGTGAATATTTTTGTTGAGGTGTCATCTTCAGAAAACTCCAAAATGCTGATGTATCATCTTTAGGAGAGACATTGGTGTTATTATTGTATTGATTTATAGGCGTAAAAAATCATCAACAAAATTCTATTTTCTTTTGTCAGTTGCAAATATGTCTCCGCTAGTCCTTAAGCTGCTTAATCCTCAATAGAAAAATATTTGAAATAATATTTTGGCATATTCTTGGAACCTAATCTCATTCTCTGGTTCCTTCTAGATAATTTCATGAATGTTTTTCTTGTAAAAAAATAAAAATTAAAAACCAGAGTAACCAAAATACCTAAAAAATACCCAAAAACTAGAATCTATAGGAGAGACATTGGTGTTATTATTGTATTGATTTATAGGCGTAAAAAAATTCCACTTTCTTTTGTCAGTTGCAAATATGTCTCCGCTAGTCCGCTGATTCCAAGCTGCTTAATCCTCAATAGAAAAATATTTGAAATAATATTTTGGCATATTCTTGGAACCTAATCTCATTCTCTGTTCCTTCTAGATAATTTCATGAATGTTTTTCTTGTAAAAAAATTAAAATTAAAAACCAGAGTAACCAGAATACCCAAAAAGTACGTTACTTTTGATCTAAAGTTATCCGATGCTAATTTATCGGCATATTAAGTGATTATAACATAATACATATTATGAATCTTGTGTATGAAATCCTAAAGTTATATTTGTCTCTGATAAGTTTTGATTTATGAACATATTAAAGAACCGTAACCGTAAAAATGCTGAAGACAAGAGAAAAGGTTGGCCACAAAGATCAAACAATGTCTCAGTCTGTGGATCCGAAATCAGATAAGATCGGACACAATAACAACATCAACAACAACACCAAAGCGATCACTAACCCACTGGCTCTGAGTCTCTTGATCGGTCTGAAAAACAACAAGTGCATCTCAGATTCTGATTTTGTCAGGAGCCCTAAATCTCCTCTTGAATTCAGGGTGTTGTCTACAATGGCTGAGCCGTTCTTCCTCAGATGTCCTAGATCATCACTCACTGCTCATCTCAACTGTTGTTGTGGCCCTGTTAAAGTTGGGTTAAGCATTGTGGATTCTCTCGCTGATGATCGGGTTTTGTCACCAGATATTGTGTTTGGACCTGCCTTGAGTATCAAGTCTTCTGAGATTAGGGACAAACATCCCAAGTTGTCCTCTGAGCCTAAGCCCGTGGAGATCAAGAAGGAAATATCTGGTGCTATCTTCCAAATCGGTGAGACTGAGCCGGGAGAAACCCGAGTTCTGTCTCGATCCAAGTTCTGCGCAGAAGGGAACTCAGAAATTGCTTTCTCATGTTGTCTATCTGAGGATGAGGATGAGATGGAGATGTCAGAGGACTACACTTGTATCATTTCACATGGTCCTAACCCGAAAACGACTCATATTTATGGTGGCCGAGTTTTAGAGTGTCACAAGAATGAGTTTGATAACAAAAAAAGTATGTGGAAACAGAGTTTGATTCCATGTTTCCCATCGATAATTTCCTCACCGTATGTAACTTCTGCAACAAAAAACTTGAAGTTGGAGAAGACATATATATGTACAGGTGTGTACTTCTTTTCCAATATACGTATTCTCTAATAGATACACAAAACTTAGAGGGTTTGTAGTATTGTTTCGAACTTTGAAATACCTAAACAGTATGACAAAAATGGTTCCGAGGTTAGAATAATATGAACTAAAAAGCTTTATAGGTTTCGAAAAATCTAAACTTGTGATGTTTGTGTGGTGATGAATTGCAGAGAGAAAGGGTTTTGCAGTGAAGAGTGTCGTTCAGAGGAGATGATGATAGATGAGGAAGACATGGAAGATTCTTGCATAGTTATGCAGGAATCTTTACAGAAGCTCTTCTGAACAAGAAGAAGCTAATAAGACGATGGTCATGGGACGAGCTTTTATAGACCCGACCATTGTCCTATTAACCCTACCTAAACAGACTTTTATTATATATATATATTGACCAGTGTCATGCCAATGGTAAGGTAATCTTTTGGCACTAATATGGTTTCATCCGTCTACAAAGAGCTGTGTTTATGGGCATCTATTAGCAAGCTGCAGCAGCCACGGATGAATCGGTCGGCCTTCTTTTTCTGTATATTTTGTAATGGGTTTTGGTTTTTGTTTTTTGTTTTTGGTTTGTATATCGAAGTTGATCATAACCTCATAAGTCATGAAGAGAGAGGGTTGGGTGCAAGAAAGGGTTTTTCTGTGACCACTCTATTTTCTTATTTTGAGACATGTTTTTAGGGTCTTTCTATGGATGGCTTCATAGGTTTGTCTGCAGATTTTTAATTGAATAAGTGATATATGTATGGACTATGATGATTAATTTTATTATTGATGAAAACATTGAACCACAACCAAAGCCAAGACAGGATGGACCAAAGATCAACTGACAACCAGTCCGTATGTGGAGAAAGTGATATGCCAACTAAAGGAACTTATTAAGCAGAGTACAAGATATCTGAAGGAACATACACCAAGAACAAAGGAAAGAAGAAGACCGTTCTTGGAACTACCACTTTCACAAGGTTTTTGCTATACATTGGACATTTGGACTATGACTGAGTGTAAAGAATTTAAGTAATCAAAAGCTATGAATCCTCTCCAGTAAACACATAAACCCAAAAGCATAAACAAAGAGAGTTTATTACTACAATTTTATGACTTTATCAGACAGTTTAAAGATTAAACCCTCTATTCCAAAAATCTTACTCGTGAAACTCAAACATAGACAGAGAGTGTTTTTAACTTTTTACTAATTATAACAACTTCATCACAGACCGTTTCAAGCCTGAATTGAAAATCAACCTAAAAGCCACAAACTTTTACCAACATAAAGTAAATGCTTCTATTGCAAAAACATACTCCTAACGTTTCAAAGACAAGAATTTCACACCATGGGTCTGGATCAAACAGAAAACTTCAACCGAATCAGAAAATGTTATGCACCTGAAAGACGTTGAGTGCGTGGGCCAGAGATGCATAATTGGAAGAGAAGGAGACGAAACGATCAAATGTAGAAGTGTCGAGCTTGGTACGAAACGGCGTCGCAAAAGCGGAAACTACAGAGACATAAAACGACGACGTAATAATGCATAGAATTATAAATGATGTGAAAAAATGCAGGACCGATTCGGTTAAGATGGGGAATATAAGACCAGTTCGGTTAAGGTTCCTTTTTGAAAAATGCAGGACCGGTTCGATTTCAAATAGATCGACTCTGATTTATATAACCGTTAGCAAACGCAACGGATACATCAAAGCCCAAACATTTATTTTCTTTCAATATCCTTTTATTTCCACAATTCTTCACAACCCTTTTTTTTTAATCTTTCCCCAAATTTTCTCTCAATCTTTTTTTTTGGAAGAATTCTCTCGAAGATTTGTTTGTGATTTGTTCTTTGTAAATCGTGAATTTGGTTTGAGGATTTCTGGGTTTCATGCAATTTTCCTATCCAACCAAATATCAAATCATTCAAAATAAATTCAAATCATTCAAAACCATGATATAATAAACCCCCCTTAATGTCCTACCAGTTCTTGTTTTTTGCTGTACACTTTTGATTTTATCAAAACGTTTTTATTTTTCCCTTCAACCCAAAAAAGATCATAAGCAGAGACACTAACTGTTAGAGAGGAAATGAGCACATTTCCTAAAAGGCATTTCCCGCAATAACCTAAGTCCATCACGACCAAAAAGACCGCGCTGACCTAGCTCGGATTAAAGGAAAACTCTTAAAAGATAATTATGGAAGACCGGAAACATCGGATTAGCCCAAAGGATAATGGAGAATTTCCATATTCTTCGGAGAATAAAGGATATTTCCATATCTGTGATATGGAAATACACAAGAAGGCAAAAAGGAAAATGAGTTCGGAGTAACCGACCTCCCATTCCTATAAATACAAAGATAATTGATGTTAGGGTTTTTAATCCTTAGAATCAATTCTCAAACACACATGTCATTGTAGTAATTAAGGTGTCAATCCAATCCAAAGACTAAGGAACAATCAAGATGCAGAAAACTTGCTAAGCTAGGCCTAATCAAAAGAAGAAGTTGAACTCTAACAACCTATGATGAACAAGAAGGAAATCTAACAACCTAAGGATGAACAAGAAGAAAGCAAAACACAAAAGGTGAAAATCAAGCAAAGCAACCAAAATAAAGGAAAAACAGAGCAAACTCAGAACATAGCTTAAAACAGAGAAAAGATGGGACTTGAGATGAGATAATTGGTAATAGGGAACTCTTGACTCGGCCTATGATGCTTACAAACTCACACAATGCTATTTCTTATGCATAGGATTCATTTATATGACTAATCCAATCTCTTGGCACTAATCTCTTTGCTAATTACCAAGTCAATAACTAATTCTCATTAGTAAAATGATAAAATGACAAATTTATCAACCCTATATTGCCAAATCACTCCCTAGACAGTCAATCTCTTGAGCTAGGATAAGCAATTCTCTTGCAAAACAGTTCAGGCATTTCATCAAACACTTGGTGGGCATAAAATGAGCTTAAGATCTTAATCAACTTAACTAGGGCTAATTAAGCATTAAACACAGCAATCAAGAAAGGAAATGGAAGAATTAACACTAAGCAATCATAGATAGAGTCTCAAATTCCCTAAACCTAACCCATCTCAAATCCCTAAAAAGAAAGCAAACACAAAAAAGGTAAGGTTCAAGACTAAAGTGATAGCAAAGTGAATCATGCTTATGGTTAAGGGATCAAATCAAATTAAGAACAATTCAACTCTAGATAAGGACATCTCAAACAAGACAAGCTACTTTGTTCATTGGCATGTCAAACCCATGGTTAGTGATGTATTTACCAACAAACAAGCAAGAAGCACAAGGTCCATAAAATCTAACAAGTTCTCATACCTCCACTTTTGATGGCTTGTGTGATTACTTATCACTTGCCGGAATATATCAGGAAACTACTCACTGGTTAGGTTTATTGCAGTTATCTAAGAGCAACTTTCCACCAATAGGTGATGCAAAGACTCATGACATTCTAAGCATCTATTTCAAGACTTTAACCATTAACACATTTCATCAAACACATGGAGTGCAGGATAAAAAGCCCAGGATTCTTGTCTAATTCAAAGAGGTACTAGGCATTAAATATCAATTCAGCAAGAAGAGGAATGAGATCTAGCAACCTAACACATCAAGCATCCAAAAGAAACACTTTTGCATCACAAAAAATCATGAATCTCTAAAATAACTCAAACCCTAAAGAGCAAATTCGAAATTAATAAAAGCAAGACCAAGACTAAAGATTAAAGACTTATGATTAAAAGAAGAAGAAAACATAAATAAAAGTATACACAAGTGATCCAATCTCAACCCACAAATGATTTGTTCTTGTTCTATGAAAAACCAAAGCAAAGCTTTGGAGAAGAGAAAGGATAAGAGAAAATAAATCTAGGTTTAGTTATTTATAGGAAACATCCCCAAAATAGCCCTAGGAAGCAAAAATAAGGAAGTCAAAGATGGTCAAAGATGCTTTTCGGACAAAAACCTATCGATCTGAAGGAAGGAGGTAGGAGATCGATGTGGTGATCGATAGGAACTTCTGGTTGCGGACAGTGATGCTTGAACCGCCTTATCTTTTGAAATACTGATCGGATTGACATGATTCAATCTCCGTTGGACAGCTTATTTGACCCTCTACAACTTATATGAAGGACGCGGAGGCTGAATCTCACCAGAAGACCTTCGTTTTGACCCATACATTTCATATCGATCTGCACATCGGACAGATTTCTCTCAGCTTTGGTCGATACAGGACTTTGGTGCAGCCTAAAACCCGTCATCTTGGATATTATTCTGGGTTCTTCATGTCCACATCATTCACCATTCTTCAAATGTCTTCCTTGCTCCATTTAGACCTGAAAAAGACTCCAAACAATGCAAAACATGCAAATGTCTAACCTTAAACCTATTATGTCTAATATGAATGCAAATGTGACAAAATATGATGAATGAATGCATGAAAGAGACCAAAAACTAAGCTAAATGCAAGCTAAAACAAGGTAAATTATGAGGATATCAATCCTGAAGCCAGAAAGAAGAACTCATACAATCTAGAGAGCAGCAGAGCTAAAACCAGAGACTCCAACGCTTTCTAGCTTACTTCGCAAACCTTCTTTTCACTTTGGCATAACCTCTCGGTTATACCTTTCTTTGTTATTGCTACGCTTTCTTACTATCAATGAAAAGACTTTATTCTCCGAAACCCACAACTGTTAATCAGACCCTAGTGGTAATTTTCTGGTTCAACAATTGGCGCCGTCTGTGGGGACTAGGAGAATAAATTCTTTAGAAAAAAAACAAGTAAGAAAGCCGAAGCGATGAGCCTCCCCGTCAATGACAGCGATCTTATTCACATCAACAGCCCTACTATCGCGACCCCACCACCCACGGAAAAACACGTTCGAGCAACCAACGACAGTACCCACATGATTTTAGGAGGAATATTTCACGATCCCAACTCGCTGTAGGAAATAAGACAACACGAAGAAAAAGCGGCGGCGGCAAAACAAGATCCACCCATCCCAAGATACGAAACGCCGATAGAATTCACAACAGAGGACCAACGTAGCTCGCACGAGTCGCACTTCGACCCGCTGGTGATAACTTTACAAATCCATGACAGCACGGTTTCCAAAGTCCTGATCGACGGTGGGAGTACAGTCAACGTCATATTGGAAGATACACTGTCGAGAATGCATATTGAGAAAACAAGATAATAGCGATCAGAAAACCGTTGACCGGGTTCGCAGGCGACACCTTTTACAGCATCGGTTCGATATACCTGATCACTCACATCGGCGGCATGACCAGAAAGGTAGAATTCGCAGTCATCAACCTCCCGACCATCTACAATGCCATCCTTGGAACACCATGAATTCATGCCATGAAAGCCATCGTCTCAACGTACCATCAATGCATCAAGTTCCCAACCCCAACCGGTGCATTCACACTTCTAGGCGACCAATCATCAGCAAGAATGTGCCTTCTCAACGAAAGAAGAATCAGATCGGCGACCACCTGCATGGTGAACGAAGATTTAGACCCACGTCTCCCCTTCCACAAAAGACCAAAGCCCGAGCGAGTTATACAGGTAAGCATCGACGAGAAACATCCAGAAAGACTTGCAAGCATTGGAGGTGACCTTTCAGAAGATATCAAAACAGACCTCATAAAAATTTTGCGCTACCATGTGCATCTGTTCGCTTGGTCCATAGAGGATATGAAGGGAATTGATACCAGGATTACTTCACACAAACTAA